TGGTGCCTTTAATACACAATCTTTGATTTACATGTATATGTTTGTCTAACATGCCTTAGGATAGTTCATATCATTGGGCATTGATCTAAATTTCTCTGGCATATTACATGTCTTCTACAGGAACGTGCTTTGTAAGTTTTCATTGCCTAATTTTCTATTCTGCATTTCAATAGTTACAGAAATAATGCATTATTATTTTCAAATATATTATTCTCTTATTTTTTTTTATCAATACTGATTGTATCAGATCAATTTATCTTTTTTTTAGTTCTGACAGGGTCCCTTTTCCTTCTTTTGAAATGAATTTAGTACATGAATGCATTTGACAGAGGCATGAATTCGCTGGATGATAAATTTTCTTTCCTTACTTCTACCAAGCAGATAGTGAGCAGCACAAATGAAGTTGACAAGGTACTAAAATTTTCCAGAATATTTTTATATTTATTCTTCATGTCTCTTTTAGCACAGTTAATGTGTTACTTTAGGCAACTGCTAGCTCCTATTCCTGTGGCTGCAATCACCATTAATGTTTGGTGCTTTTTAATATTTCTGATAGTGATGGCAGGTTTTTCTATGTTTTGGGTTTGCTACATTATAAAATGTCTAATGTAGCAGATATAATTAAACTGTGTGATTTCTATCTTCTTGACAATTTGCAGCATCAATGTATGTGAACCACAAATGAACAATCTACCTTTAAATATTCTTCTAGCTATTAAGATTTACCTTCAATATCTTGACCCATTAGCTTGACCTTTGACAAATCAGTCATCTTAAAATGTACAATTCAATCTGGAGATCAACTCTAGTTTTATTTCTCCGCAAAAAAATTTAAGCGTATAGTTCCATCCAGAGATATTTTCTGGAGTTACTTCTTTGGGAGTGGGGGGTTGTTTTTTGGGGGGGGGGGGGGTTATTCATTGGTGTAATTTGGGGGATAATGGGATAATTTTTGGAACATCACTTTTTGGTGTTATTCATTGGGGTAATTGGAACTGGAGTCAACTTTGTGGTGTTTTTGGTTTGTTGGGGTAATTAGGGGACAAATACTCCACTTTCCTCTAAATTACACCAACTATATAAAGATCCCCTCCACCCCTTCCTCATAATTACCCCAAATTTACCCCATCCTCCATATTGGAACAATGTTGTTCAACTTTGAAGGCAATTGGGATAATTTTAAAATATTTTTGTATTACTTAACTAATACATGCTAATTATATTATAAATATATGATATGATATATAAAATATAACATATATTAATATTTTAATAACATAATTTAATAACATATATTAATAATATTATATAATAGTAATTATAGTATAACGTATTTATTATAATATTATATAATATTTTAATAACATATATTAATAATATTATGTAATATATTATTATATAATATTAATTAGTAATTATAGTATAACGTATTTATTATAATATCATATAATATTTTAATAACATATATTAATAGTATTATGTAATATATTATTATATAATATTAATTAGTACATTATATCCTATGATACTATATTATAATATATTAAATTAAATAATATATTATTAAAGTATTATATTATATATATTATTCATATATTATATCAATTATTATATAATGTAGCATACTAATATAATGTTAATTAGTAATTATTGTATAACATATTATATTTTTGTATAAATAAAATAATGTATTATATTAAATATTATATTATTTAAATATTATACTAAATATATTGATATTATATTATAGTAATTATTATACATAGTATTGCATGCTAATATAATATAATACAATACAATATAATAATTAATAATAGTAATTTGTAAGTATAGTACAATATATTATATTTTAATATAAAGTAAAATAATATTTATATTATAATAATATACTAAACCAATGGGATAAGTTAATTTAGAAGTAATTAATAGATAAAATTATATTTTAATAAGGTGCCACATCATCAATTATCCCACATGAATTGTCAAATCAAATGCTGAAATTATCCCATTATCTCACTTTATCCCACTTTACCCCACTTAAAATATCCCAAAGGGGTAAAATTGTTCCATTGGAACACTTTTCCCACTTAGCCCCAATTTGCCCCAACCAATAACCCCCCTTCGAGTTTTGTAGTTCTACGGGAATGCCTTTTACATTCCACAAATGATCTTGGTCAAATTTTGATGGTTTACAGCTAGATCTAAGTGACTGGGTTGCACGTATATTCTCCTTTAAAAGCCTCCATTCCAATGTAAAGTTCTACCTTCACTTGCCTGCTCCATCCAGTGAGGACTTCTGCAGAAAATAACTGAATGTGAATCATAATGTGCTGCAACTTTATGTTAACTTGATGAATACCGTTATGCGCTATTTTCAGCAGTTATTTTTGCTTCAAATACCATATGGTCTTTTCCTGGAATAAAGTCTTATAGGCTTGTCCGATGTTCTAATAGAAAAACTCTCAGACTTATACTACTAGTTAAATCACTAACAAGATCAAGTTTTCTACTTTAAATATAACTAGCATTACCGCACGTGCACATGCACGTGCAATAGACATTAAACATAAATTTCTAATTTCTATATGAGTAATGTATTAAAGGTTTCTAGTTGTTTAAATCCTTTGGCTTAAAGCTTAAGTTTATCCAAAATCAATGTAATGTTCTTATAAATTTGAGACTCGAGAATGGAGTTATTGAAATATGGAAAAACCCTTAAGTTACATACGTGTATACTTTGTTTCAAATAATTTATAACAATAATAATGATTAAGGATAATGAAATTAAGTTTATACAAATTTGTTCCTTTTAATATGTAATGTATTTAATATTTGCATATATACCCCTTAAATCATGGATATTTTACGAAACTATCCCCCAAAATCTCAGTATTTGCAAGATTATGCCTCAAACATCATCAATTTTGGAAAAAAACATACCTCCAAACCAATCAACCATCAACTTTGATAGGCTAATTTGTAATTACAGTGGAACACTTATAAAAAAATAGTCAAAATTTTGCTCATCAAGTTGATGATTTGTTGATTTTAGGGGCATTATTTTTCTCAAATTGATAATTTGAAGGGTAGTTTTGCAAATATTAGGATTTGGGGATCCTTTTGCAAGTACCCCTGATAAGGAAAATATATGCAAATAACCCTTAATAAATTCATTGCTTATAACTAGATGTTATTTATTGAATTTTTATGTACGTGTGTGAGAGAGAGGCGGAGAGGGGACTTTTGATGTGATAGAATACTATTTATCTAAATTTTAAATTTCCCCTTGGTCTTTTCTGGAATGAAGGACAAATTCCATATTTTGTCGTGCCCTTACTAGGTTTATTATATGTAGAAATTGAGAAACCCTAATATCATTGATAAGATAACATGGGCTTATATAAGCCCTACAAAACACATCTTACAAATAACCCCTTGCATAATATAAATATGTCAACACTCCTCCTCAAGATGGGCGAAAGATATCCACTAAACCCATCTTGTCACATCCTTTAATCATATCTACCGAGCTAAGTCCCTTAGTCAGACAATCTGCTGCCTGGTCCTTAGTTGAAACATGACTTAGCTCTAGTAGTCCAATATCCAACTTCTCTTTGATGAAGAACCTATCGATCTCGATGTGTTTGGTTCTATCATGCTGCACTGGGTTATTAGCGATACTGATGGCTGACTTGTTATCACACCACAACTTCATCTTAGCTCCTTGATCCAGCTTCAGCTCCACCAGCATACTCTTCAACCATAACAACTCAGCAACTCCTAAGACCATAGCTTTATACTCTGTCTCAGCCGTCGATCTCGCCACCACTGACTGCTTCTTGCTCTTCCACGAGACCAAGTTACCTTCTATAAAGATGCAGTATCCTGAGGTGGACCTCCTGTCATCAGCACAGCTAGCCCAATCAGAGTCGTAGTAACTCTCAATGCTTACATGTCCATTCTTTCTGAATATCAGCCTTTTTTCGGGGGTACTTTTCAAATATCTCAGAATTTGGTACACAGCGTCCAAATGTCCCTTTCTCGGATCATGTATGTAGCTGCTCATCACGCTCACTACAAAAGAGATATCGGGACGTGTGTGGCTCAGATAGATCAACCTGCCCACTAGCCTTTGGTATCTGTTACGATCAACTAGTTCTTCAGCTTTAGCACCCAGCTTGAACTTCTAGTCGATTGGTGTAGTTGCAGGTTTGCACCCTAACATCCCTGTTTCTTTGAGAAGATCCAGTGCATACTTTCTCTGGGATAGGACAATCCCCTCCGCTCCTCGAGCTATCTCTATTCCAAGAAAGTATCGAAGCAAGCCAAGATCTTTCACCTCGAATTCCTTACCCAGTCTCACTTTGAGTTGGACAATCTCCTTCTCATCACCCCCTGTAATAATCATATCATCCACATATACGGCAAGTATGGTGATGTGACCTTCACTCCGTCGAAAGAACACGGTATGATCGGCGTTAAACTGCCGGTATCTCATACCTATCATAGCCCGCCTGAATCTGTCGAACCAAGCACGAGAAGATTGCTTCAGGTCATATAGAGACTTCTTTAATTTGCAGACATTGCCCACTGTCTGATATGTGTCGAATCCTGGTGGTATTTCCATGTATACCTCTTCCACTAGATCTCTATGAAGAAATACATTCTTCACATCTAGTTGGTGTAGCTTCCATCCACCATTTATTGCCAGAGAGATCAATGTCCGAACAGTGCTCATCTTCATCACCGGTGCGAATGTCTCATCATAGTCGATTCCATACGTCTGACTATACCCTTTTGCCACAAGACGAGCCTTATAACGCTCAACCTGTCCATCTGGATTCTGCTTCACAGTGAAGACCCATTTGCATCCAACCGCTTTCTTCCTTTTTGATAGTTTTACTAACTCCCAAGTACGGTTCTTCTCAAGAGCCCCCAACTCTTCGTGCATAGTCGTTTTTTACTTTGGGTCCTTCTTAATAACCTGTCAATTGTTAGGTACAGTAGTAGAGTCCAATGATGTAATGAATGCTCAATGTGCAGGATGAATGTTAGAATATGATACAAACTGGGCAAGATCCCATCCATATCTATCGGGAGGATTTCCCGCATTACTGCGAGTAGTCCTCCGTACTGATATTGGTGTGGGAGGAGTAGGGAGAGGAATGTTATCACATTGGAAAGAATCTGGTGGTGGTGTAGGTGTCTCAGGAGTCGGGGCAGGCATTAGCAAGGGACTTGGCAGCACTAGTGACACTGTAGGTACTGTTCCTGCAATCTGCTTCCCCTTCCTACTATAGATTAGTAGCTCCTCCTGAACCGTGGGCCTAACACCTCTTGTCTCCTTCTCCTCTTCTTCATTCTCTTGCTCCTCCTCAGCCAATTCTCCCTTCCAAGGAATCGATACAGAAATCGATTTCTCCACATAATTCTCTACATTGTTCACCCGCCTCTCACAATTCTTCCCCTCTCGCTTCATACTTTCAGTATCTGGCGAGTCACCAACGGGTGAGGTTACCTTTCGATATTGGTGTGGGAGGAGTAGGGAGAGGAATGTTATCACCTTGGAAAGAATCTGGTGGTGGTGTAGGTGTCTCAGGAGTCGGGACAGGCATTGGCAAGAGACTTGGCAGCACTAGTGGCACTGTAAGTACTGCTCCTGTAATCTGCTTCCCCTTCCTACTATAGGTTAGTAGCTTTCCCTGAACCGTGGGTCTAACACCTCTTGTCTCCTTCTCCTCTTCTTCATTCTCCTGCTCCTCCTCAGCCAATTCTCCCTCCCAAGGAATCGATACAGAAATCGATTTTTTCACATTATTCTCTACATTGTTCACTTTCCTCTCATAATTCTCCTCCTCTCGCCTCGGGCGAGTCACCAACGGGTGAGGTTACCTTCCGGGTATAATATGGCTCGAGTTCTCGAAAGTGTACATCTATGCTCACAAACAACCTCTTCTCTACCGGGCTCCAGCAAATATATCACTTCTGAGTAGCAGAATATCTTACAAAGATGCACTTCACCGCTCTAGGGGTAAGCTTCCCGACAGATGATCTGTTGTCCTTCACAAAGCACACACAGCCAAACACCTTTAGTAGAAGAAGCCCACCATTATCTCCCTTCAACGTCTCACACGGAGACTTTCAATCCAGCATTCTCGAGGGCATTCTGTTGATCAGCGTCGTTGCGGTCAACACTGTTTGCCCCCATAATGTTTCTGGGACATTCATAGAGATAATCATGCTTCTAGCGATCTCTAAAAAATGTCTGTTCTTCCTCTCCGCTATTCCATTCTGGGCTTGTGTGTATGTGCATGTCGTCTGGTGTTGTATTCCCTGAGCGGACAAGTATTCCCCAAACGCTCTGTTGGTATACTCTGTCTCATTATCAGACCTTAATACCTTCACCATTGCTTCGTATTGAGTCTTAACATACCTATGAAAGTTTTGAAAGCAACCAAGCACTTCACTTTTATTTTTCATTAGATATAACCAAGTAACGCGAGAGAAACAATCAATAAAGGTAACAAAATATTTGTATCCATTCATAGAACTTGTGGAACAATGCCCCCAAACATCTAAATGTATCAGGTCAAATGCATGAGAACTTCTATGATCAGAATTAACATAAGAGCTTCTAGTAAGCTTTCCAAACTCACATGCATCGCATATAAGTTTCTGTTTATTTGCTTTCTCAAATAATGATAGATATAATCTACTTAAAACACTAAAGGATGAGTGTCCCAAACGCTGGTGATGAAGCATCAACGCACTCTCAGCACTCATCTCAGATCCTACTCCTGCTCTCTCTACCATTGACACCAACGTTGAATCCAGCCCTTCACGATTCAGATACCACAGTCCACTACGCCATGTGCCAGTCCCAAGTCTCCGCTCTGTCCCCTTCTCCTGGAAGATCACCTTGGGAATATCAAAAGAAACAATGCATTTTAGTTGGAGGATGATAGTACTAATGGACAAAAGATTGACTGGAAAGGAAAGAGCATGCAAAATATTGGACAAAGTTACAGAACCTGTATAATCGACTGTACCCTTACCAACCACTGGCTGAAATATACCATCAGCTGTTTGAATACTATCAGGCGATGCTAGGTGAGTATATGATGAGAACTCACTAACATTACCTGTCACATGTCGAGACGCACCGGAGTCGACTATCCATTCTGATGATCTGTCAGGAGACATAGAAGCAAGAGCATGTATGTCATCAGTACATTTGGTCGGATGAGCATAGGTAGCAGTGTTGCCTCTGGCGAAGAACGAAGTGGATGCCTCCCCAGTCCTACTCTTCCTGTCTCCATCCCCTGTTACTTTCTGTTTCCTCCTGAGTATCGCCAAGAGCGCATGATCTTCCTCAGTAAAGACCACCCCAGTTTCTTCTTCTCCCTCTGCTATCATCAGATTCGTCCGGTTTTCTGCTCCTCTTCCACCTCGTCGATCCCCACAACCACGACCACGACCTCCGAACTGTCCATGTCCACCCGAATCTCCTTCCTTGGGTGGCTTGGTGTAAGCATGCCTTAGATGACACACTTCACCGTAGTTGTAGCACTGCCGAGTTTCTTTTCTAGATCCAGTGTTGCTAGAGGCTGCTAGTGCTGACTTCACCACAGAAAGTCTATCTGTCCCCGCCTACAGCCTAATGCGAATCTCCTCCTGGATCATAGCCGAGACAGCCTCCTCAAGCGTGAGAATCTTCGGCTAAGCTAGCAGCAATGCAATTCGCTGAGCAAACTCTGATGTCAATCCCTTGAGAAACATCATAGTTATCTCCTGTAGAAAGGCCTCCCGTTCTTTACATCCCGGGTCATTGCAGCTCGCCCGAGGTGAGAAGTGATCATAATCTAGCCACAGACGTTCCAGCTCTGTGGCATACTCCTGTACAGTCCTCTCTTCCTGGACTGTGGCGTCGATCTCTTCCTTAATCTGGAACACCCTAAGGTTATTCCCCACTCCATCATAGGTCCTCCTCAACTTCTCCCAGACGTTCTTCACCTTCTCAATGCCATCCACTGTGGCGGCGATCGACTGGACCAATGAGTTGAGGAGCCAGATGTACACCAACATATGAGTGGACTTCCACTCGTCTTTTCCTCTCGAGTCCTCATCCGTTCTGTCTTCTCTCCTGTCAAGTAACCCTCCAGGTTCCTCCCTACAGGGGTGTATCTCACCCGCCGTGACCAGCTCAGGTAAGTATCCGGTCCATAAAGCTTCAGATCGATGGTCGGAAGCTCCAACTTCTTCGATGGTCTTGTCGCGCTCTCATCAGCTGATAACTTCATCAACTTCATCAAAGTTGACACCTCCGTGGGGTTCAACTTCTTGATGATCTCCTCCATCGATCAGGCTTCAGATCCAACACCTGTTCACCTTTTCTTCAAACCCTTGTTGTGCGCAATAAAATTTTCGGCAGCACTTCTGCTACACAACAAGAGTAAGATCTCAACAAAAAATTCTCGTTTCTCAGAGGAAACAAGAATCGAAAGTGATATATCTCATCTCCGTGAGATATATACTCTTCCTCTCATCATTCGAGGACTGAAATGTCGAGGGAATCCATGCCAAACTCTAGGTTCGACAAGGTGCACGGTCAGCGGACGAGGGGTTCGAACAGGGACAGCGGGGTGGCAGCGGGGTGGCGAGCGGGGTTGAGGGGTTCGGCAGGTGGGGTCAGCAACGTGAGGAGAGGGAGGGCAGGCGGCGGCGAAGGGGGTGTTCGGCCAGGAGAGAGCGGAAAGGGGGAGGGGGCAAAACAGAAGGGGGGGTTCGGCGGAACAAACAAGAAGGGGGGGGGGGGTTGCGCGGAAAAACAGAAGTGGGGAGGGGGGAGGGGAAGTCGGCGGCAAATAGAGGGGGGGGAGGAAGCGGGGCGGCTAAAGGATTTGACACCAGCGTACAGCGCATCATACGATACCATGAAGAAATTGAGAAACCCTAATATCATTGATAAGATAACATGAACTTATATAAGCCCTACAAAACACATGTTATAAATAACCCCTTGCATAATATAAATATGTCAACATTATATAGTAGTATAAATATCCTCATATCTACTTGTTTGTTCCGCACCACTCTTTTCTCCTTAAAATCCGGTTTGAGAAAGTAAATGAGCTATTCTTATGTTATAACTTGATCGGGCTTTTATAACGCAGCGCGGAAGTGATAAACCTTAGAATCCACCAAGGGTTCTCTGAATCCACAAAGAACGATCTCTGAATCCACGAAGAAAATACTAAAGAGGAATTTTATTGATAAAAAGATATTGTTCTTTGGGGTTACACGACTCTTCTTAAATAGAAAAACAAACAAGACTCCTAGTAAGACTAGAATTACAAAGAAATAGAAAGTATCAAATTCTATCCTAAAAAGACTCCCTATAATAGAGGAAAAAATTCTATCCTAAAAAGACTCCCTATAATAGAGGAAACAAATCATGAATCAAAATTAAATTTGTTTCCTAATCTAATTCTAAAAAGACTCCCTATAATAGAGGAAACAAATCATGAATCAAAATTAAATTTGTTTCCTAATCTAATTTAACTTTTTAACATTAAGTTTATTTTCTAATCTAAATTGACTCTAACTTTATTACTAAAAATAAACTAAAGGCTGATTATTTTTTAAATCTTGTCAAAAACGGGTGTTACTGATGGGATTGTGGGATTCTACCAAACTGATTGACTTCGTCTTGTCGAGATAGGCGATTTTCATATATACTATATTAGATTCTGTCTTCCGGATTGTGAGATATAGTTTCTCTGCGGCTAGTCAATAATTTATCTGTATCCGCATTTGACTCGTGAAGGTCCCATTTTTCCATGAATTTGCTCGTTATGCGTTTTACATCATTTTACTTGCTTCTTTGAATAATACAGTGAATTATGTTTCGAGGATTGGTTTATTTTCAGGTAATCGTTTTTGAGCGAGGGGATTTAATTTTTGTGTTCAATTTCCATCATGAAAACACCTATGAGGGGTAATTCATTGATTTATTATCATCATATCACCTACTTTATATTGTTTCGGCTTAATTTTTGACTATTTAGATTATACAGGTATAAAATTGGATGTGACTTGCCTGGAAAGTATAGAGTTGCCTTGGACAGTGATGCTGTTGAGTTTGGTGGGCATGGAAGAGTAAGATGCATTACGGTTCACTGTTTTCTATGGTTTTTAGGACATATGGTTTTTCATTAATATGCTGATGTAACAATGGCTTTGCTTTCTATTCTTGCTTCTAATAAAGGACTATCTGATCTGTGTAGTGGGAAGAATTACATATTTTTCTATTTCTTCTCTCTTGGCCATTAATTTCCTCATGCTTCTTTAATTAAAGTTACGAGGAAAGTATTTATGCTATTTTATTTTGAATTATTTTTTTGAATCCTAACACACAGTTATGTCTGAAGACAGATTTTAGGTAATTATGTATTTTGGCCTTAGAGGAAACTTGAATAAAGTCTAAACTCTTATAATATATCCTATACTTCTAACAGATGAGGGGTTAGATGCAAAATATTCATAAAATACAAATCTAAAGAACATGTTCAGAAGTTTCCCTATCTTACATATTAAGTTGACTACAGAGTTGGAACTTCCCCCTGCAGAGAGCAGGTTATAGTTTCACTCTTTAATGTGTGTGAATATTGTGATAAATCTTCTGCATTATCCTTTTGTGCACAATCTATCTATATTGCCTGGTACGCCACATTGCTTTTGTTCACCGTGACATATTACTGTACATGCTGCATCATTGTCATCATCATTGATTCTATCAGCTCATAGTCTCTAAGGGACTCCTGGTTGCTTGCCCAATGACCATAGAATAAAGAAATATTTTGAAGTATATTTTCCTTTATTCGCAATTTGCCAATTTCTCAGTTCGCGCAGATGGACAATTAAACATTATTTAGGCAAAACAGTTACCAGTTTCAGTTTCGATTCAGACTTGCCTTAAAGGGGTATAGTGGTTTGGTGCAGAAGTTGGACATGGTTAATTCAACTTTCAAGTACCAGCAGAGCTGAGAAGGATTGATAAATTTTTCATTTTGCAGGTTGGCCATGATGTAGACCATTTTACAAACCCTGAAGGTATACCTGGAGTACCCGAAACTAATTTCAACAACCGACCAAACTCCTTCAAAATCCTATCTCCAGCTCGAACTTGTGTGGTACTATTATTTTCTCCCTTACATTTGCAGTTTTACAGCTTGAATTGCATGTAAATTTTAGCTTTGCTCAATATTTATTATCTTCGACAAACTTCAGGTGTACTGTAAAGTTGAAGAGCATCAAATGATCTGCTGAGAAGACAGAGAACATAATGAATGTTGTTGTTGTAGCTAAAAAAGATGAAATTGTGAACTTGTATGACGTAGAAAGGGTATGTGAATTGAGATGAATAGAATCAAAGTACTGTTCTGAAACTGGGATATGGGATACCAGTAATGATGGTAAGTTTCCCAATGAGAATAAAAAGAGAGGTAAGACAGATTTTGAGTAAAAAATTATCATGAAATTGCAGTTCATCATTAGTTGCTTTTATGTTTTTCTTGGGTGATAGGCATTTGAGTAATAAAGTATTAATATTTTCATGGGCAGTTGCAGCTTGGATCTTAGGTGCTAATATGGGCTGAGGGTGTTAAATGCAACTCATGATACAAATGAGGGGGCCTATCTACAATTTACCCTATCTACAATATCTTAGGTGCTAATAAACAGTACATATGTTTTATCTTCTAACTGAACCAATGCTATTCGAAGGATATTTCAATGATGTAGCAGAAGTAGCAACAACAACACATCTTTTATCTTAACTATTTGAGCTCAGCTACATGAATCCTATTTTTCCATTGTGTTCCATTTAGGGCCATCTTCTCTACTAAGTTAGCAATTATCATATCCTTCTTAGTTACTTCCAACCAAGTTCTTTAGTCTTACCTCTAGAGCACTTTGTCCTATTAATTATAATATTATCACTTTTTTAATGATGCACTAAGAGGTTTCATTGTACATGATTAAACTATCTTAGTTGATTCTTTCTTATTTTATCCTTAATAGGAGCAATCTATAGTTTACTACCAATACATTGTATACCCACTGTTATACCATAGAAATTACTAAGTCTAAAAGAGTGGTCACATGATAATAAGCTGGATGGCTCTAAAAGCATCCACGACCCGAGTGCTCAGATGGCTGACTCATCTTGAGAACCAGATCCGAGACAAAAGGCGCTCCCAACTCGGATCTCGCTGGATGACCGGCTTTGAGATGAAAGGCGTTTCCCACTTGGATCAGACACCATATATTGGCCTGACAAGAGACATCAAAAGGCGCACGACATTCGATGAATATATGGCTAGTGCCTACACTTGGACACCTAGTTACCATCAGGCCATTAATGCATTGTTAGTCATTATGACTGTTCGAGCTAGAGCCTTCAAAGCTCCTCAAGACACGTCATTACTCTTACAGTCCCATCATTGTGCAAAGTACGTCTCGGTCAACTATCTGTCGCATGTGTAAAGCATGTGTAGGCCAGCACTGCACACACCCGAAAAAATTACCAATGTGTCCTCATAAATCTCTATAAACCATGATGATCTCCACCAAATCAAGGTAACACAGTTTAACAGACAAAAAGTCAATAAGATGATACTCTATTTTTCTTTTCAGATAAACTAGCAAACGTTACTGACTTAAGTGTTGGAGGGCACGCCGGAGGAAACAACCTCCGGTGCCTCTAACCTCTGTTGTTTGTGTAGTGAAGCAGTGAAGCACATGTTTTGATCTACAACGAGAAGATTAAGGGACCCAAAAACTAAGTTCAACACTCTCCAATTACACATTAATTTTTCAATGTAAACAGTTTGGCGCCCATTGCGGGGCATTCTTCATCTCCTTTTGAGGAAATGACTGATCTCTGGTTTTCGGATCTTGGAACTAGAAGCTGCCACCACCGTTCCAACGCTACGGTAGTCAAGGAGTTCCGCCAAAGGACAAATGGAGAACATAACTAAGAAATCATCAGGGTTGTTCTAAAATATAAAGCATTTTGGAAGACGCCTCCACAAAATGTAATTAGACTATAAGGATCCTTCTGTAAATTAAAATTGCTTCCCTTGTGTACTAATCTATATGCAGATCTTGCCACTCGATCTTCATTGACTCGACAATTAAGACCAAAAACTCTTGGTGTCTTTTCAGAGTAAAACAAAGGCACATACTGAGGTCTTGGTATCATTTTCATGAGTAAAACCAAGGACGAAGACGAAAAGCCCTTGACATTTTTTCAAAGTAAAATCAAGGCACATACCAAGCTCTTGGTATCGTTTCCACATGTAAAACCAAGGCACGAAGATCTTGGTGCTCGATCTTCATCGACTCGGTAATGAACCAAGAGCCCTTGGTGTCTTTTTAGAGTAAAACCAAGGCACATACCAAGCCTTGGTATCGTTTCCACGTGTAAAACCAAAGCACAAAGACTTTGCTGCTCGATCTTCATCAACTCAGTAACAACGAGAGTCCTTGGTTTTGATTTCAAGGGTAAACCCAAGGAACGACGGGAAGCCCTCAAGACTCGGTCCTCATCAACTTATTGAGCGCTCCGAAAGTCCTTAGTTTCGGTTTTCAAGAGTAAACCCAAGGCACGACGGGGAGCCCTCACGCCTTGATCCTCACCAACTAGTTGAGCGCTTTCAAAGTCCTTGGTTTCGGTTTTCAAGAGTAAACCCAAGGCACAATGAGGAGCCCCCATAGCTCACTCTTGGTATCAGTTTCCGAAACTAGGCCCATGGTGCTAACAGATGTGGTAGCCATACTCGAACCGAAAGACTCTAGCCAACCTTAGGTACATGACACCAAGGAATCACTCGGTCTTTGCCTATGTACCCAGAAGTTAACTTCACGACCCGGTTCTCACCTACTCGATCGAGAATGTATCAAAAATCAAAAGCATAATTGAGAGACAACTCGATCATAAACTAACCGCGACTCATTTGCAAAAGTGATTACAAGATTCTTTTACAAGGACTCAACCGAAAAAAAGAGCCAACAGAACAAAGTCTTTATCATTCATTTGCAAAGATGATTACAAGACTCTTAATGACTATACAAAAATTCTCCTCACGGAGCATTGTCTGGGGCTTGAGCCTGGGAGAAATCCAGGTCGGGTGCATCTGATGGAGGGGAGTCGGGCTTTGCAGGCGAAGAAGATGAGTCAGGATCGTCATCGGGGCCTCACCAGCATCTTCCCGGTAGCCTCCTTCTCACCGTCTTCCTCGGCGCCCTCGTCATCTTCTAGCACTATCCCTAGACCGCCCTGCACCTTGAGCGTCTTGAGGACGTCGAGGTAGTTGGCTAAACGCAGAAAGATACTTGAGCTGTCATCGTTTCAGCAGGAAGCTGGAAGTAAGTGACACTTCAGATAATCAAACCCCGCTTTGCAAGTGAGAGCCACCTCAATTTTACCTAGGTAATTATCGTGGTACTTCTCTATACTGCAGTCTCCAACGCTTTTAGACTCCAGGTGACCCATCTGAGTCTCAAGTTCTCGAACCTGGGCGTGGAGAGAGTTGTGTTGCTGTTCAGCCTCTGTGGTCACTCGAGCAACTTCTTGATGGAGGGTCTCCTGAAGAATCACCTCCTCATTTAGCTTAGCTCGTAGCAACTCAGCCTCGGTTCGAGCTACATGCCCCGTCCTTTTCATTCTTCTCAACTAGGACCTCCGACTCGGGATATGATAGTCTCTCCTTGGCAAGTCCCCTGTCATGATGAGCATGACGGAGGTCTTTCTGGGGACTTTTCACCTAGCCTACTTTGGCTAAGCTTCACGACACCGAGCACCAGCTGCTTCCGCCTTTAGCTCCTCATCCTTTCAGGCCATCTCCTGCTCCTTCACAGCCTGGGTGCACTTGAGCTGGTGAAGCTCGCTACCTTTAGTAGCAGCTGCAAGGTCGGCCCCTCACGAGCCTCCCTCTGCGCCTCTAGTTCGGTCTGGAGCTTGAAAAAGAGTTCCCTGTAGACCTCAAGGCTCTAGAACGACTTGAATTCAAGAGAGCCCCGAGGGTGAAGTAACTCCGAAGGCCATAGTGAAGACCATCATCGGGGATCTCGCACATCAAAGCCTTGTCAGCAAGGAGGAGGAACGGATCCACTGCCTTGTCCTAGTTAGCTCAAGACTCTAGAACCAACCCTCTGACATCCATTCGGCGCTCAGGGATGAAAGGGCACTCTTCTGGTTCCCCCTCATAGCAAGGATGGGACTTAGGCCTCATCAAGACAGCTCACACCCCCTCCCAGGTACGGTGGTGGAGGTCGCTGATATGATGAGGGAATGACCACTCATATTGTCCCTCATTCACTGCAGCCGAGAGACCCAATGAGCTCGACGCAGTCTGCTCATACGCCTTAGCAACAAGGTCCTCTACGGCCGGGGCCTTTCTGGTTTCCTAGGCAACCCAGCTCCCTCTTCCAGTCAGGTCAACTCCTCTCGCCGACTGATGGGCACCTCCTCAGTAGCGACCATGGGTGGGGCCTCTCCTCCTGTTGACCCGCTAACCTGAGCACTTCCCTCTCTAGCTTCCTCCTCATGAACCTTATGCGGGGAATCACCCTCCACCTCGATATAATTAGGTGGAGCATGAGCAGACTCAGGGCCCCCTGCACTCTTAATCGACTCGATCGGTCGCAGCTTCAGCCTGCCCGAATGCAACCTCAGCCAACTCGTTCCCATGAGGGAACAGCTCCCGCGCACCGCCACTGACCCAACAATGCCCCTTGGAGACAGTCTCTTCCTCTTCCTCTTGGAGCCCTCAGCTTGAGCAGTAGACTTGTCCAGACCCCGTTAACTCTTGTCGTTGAGAGCCTCTCCGCATGAAGCCCCTCCTCCTTGATCTCCATCCTGGGACAGGCGAGGAGCGGGTCAGCACCCATGACAAAGAAGAACTACTCCCGCCACTTTTTGTTGGTCTCAGAAGAATTGGACACTAGCGGGAAGTTGCCCACCAACTAGAGATAAAAGTGGCCCTCTTTTCTACCGGCATTAACACTCACCAAGCTGCCCAGAATGCCCAACGTTGGTCTCTGATGTCAACCCGGTGACAAATGACGAAGAACGCCACCAAGCAAGCAATAGGTTTGGCGTTAGCTGGGCCGGTGCAACCCCTAAAGCCCTGAACACCTTTTGTAGGAACAGATGTAGTGGCAAGCGGAGGCCGCAATCCAGATAATGTTAGTACAATGGCGCCAAGACCCCGTCGTGATGGTAGATGAACTAATCCCTTGAAGGAGCCGAGAGCGTATATGTGCTGGGGATTTCATAATCCAGAGCATATTGCTCCGGACAACTCGACAGGACCCTCGGACGATACGAGTCGAACGATACGAGCGCAGCAGAGAGAGATCTTAGCCTCATTGCGCGCCATAGCAGGTTGAGAGCCGGAAGCCATCGAAATGGAAAAAGAGACGATCAGAAGACGGTGAGATTTTAGATATAAAAGTGCACTCACAATGACGGAGTGAAGAAGCTCTTTGG